CTAAAATAACTTAGGCAAATGTCATTAAACTGAGCAGCAATACAGCCAGTGTGAATGTTTTCGGGATGTTTCTTTTCAATAAAATCAGTCACTTTCTGATAATACCTCAAGATTTCCTTTACCGAGTGAGATCCTTCCAGAACGAAGCAAACACGCAAACTGAGACCGATGAACAGAAAGAACACGTGATCATGGCAGTGGCACCGTGAACTAATATTGGTTCTGTGTATTTCGAATCTTACAAGGGTTTGTCATTTGGTGATTTTTTGTTCTTACTGTGGAGCAAAAATATGTTTCAATTTCATGGCGTATCTTGAAAATTTCATATGTTGAAGCGTTCATATCATGAGGTACTGTACTACTGTAATTACAATTGTATGTTATATTATATATAGTAAATTACATTGCTCCAGTGATATAATTTATATTTGTAGTGCACTTATCAACTAATTTAGTTATGAATATAAAGAAATATTGTAGAAATTAAATATAAATATACAAGTAAAATGGAAAAATTGTATTTGAGACAGGACTATGTCTCGGAGACTCACTACTAAACGGAATTACTTTGACGCTCAAGGCGAGTCTTGTTCTCATTCTCCAATCTTCTTTGGTATTGCTGCTTTTTGGCGCGATTGTTCAAACTTTGCTGGCCGCGACTACGAGGTCGTCCACAATGCATTTTCGATGAAATTAACCTATCCAATTTTGAAATTTCTTTCCATTGCGCGTCTGCCCGGGTTGAATTTTTGTCAATGCGTAACGAAAATTTCCCATTTTTGAAAAAAATAATTGTGGCTATTGTATCGTCCGAAATTATTTATTTATTTTGCACAAACAATATACAGTGTAACCCTAATATAACGTCATTGGATGTAACGACAACCCTAATATAACGTCAAATTTTTATCGGTTCCACAATTTTACTATACTAGATAATGTTAAAAAACTTACTTGTAATGACACCCTGTTTTAATGTCATATTTGAAGCACTCCCAAAGTTACAAAATTAAATTACTAATTTTATTTAACATAGAAGTAACTACATGTTTAGTACTAACATCAGAGTTCCCTTCTTAGAATGACTGTGAGTGGTACTCTCCCTCGCCTGATTTCGGTGGGGTGAGGTGCCTGTTTGTAGAAGAGGGTTGCCATTTTGGATTTTATTTTGACTCGGTTCTCAGTCCCCCTGACTACCTACAAATCTGGATTTTTTTATGTGCAAATGATTTGGGCACCTAATACTCTGTGCCAAATATCAACTCTCGATATGCACTCTTTCATACCTCTAAGCTGGTAACATAAACCAGCAGTACAATTTTATAAACAAGACACAGTCTTGTCAATAGTGATATAGTGATAGTGATTCAAAATTTATGAATGAAGATTTATAAATTTAATTTGAATCAATTAATCCAAACTTTTAGTCATATCGGTTCTATGTATCTTGAATCTTACAAGGGTTTGACAAAGTTAAATAGATAGCTAAATAAATAAATATAAATATATTTCAAAAAATTTGTTCAGACATAAATAGAATAACAGCAGTAATGGCACAGAAAGTAATGGAACTTTTTAGTGAGGTCACTGCTGTTGTGCATTCATTAGTGATGGAAAATGAGCAATTCAAGGGTAGAGTTGAAAGTCTCGAAAGAGCGGCCTCGGGTAGGTCGGTCCAGAGTAAGTATATATGCAGAAATGGCTAGTAGGATTAGTATTCAGCAATCAATTTAGGAAGCAGAACGTGTTGTGGTTGTTAAGGGAACATCGGACCAAGATGCTGAGGAGATAAAGCATAAGTTTCTATCTGCTATTGACTTATTAGAAGATAAGATTAGACTAAAATTGTGAAGAAGACACATAATAATAGCTTGTTAGTGTGTGTAGCTACAAATAAAAACAAGGAAAGAGTTTGTAGTCATGATAGGTTAGCAAAAACAAAGTTGAGTACTAGTGTTTTAAAACAAAAAAAAAAAAAGACTTTGTATTTTAATTGTAGATGTGCCTAAAATTTTAGAACCTGGAGAGTTAGTTAAAATAGTATTTAATCTAAATGTGGATTTATTTTACACATTGAATATAGATCTTAGCAGCTTTAGTCGTGATTTCAAGTTTTTATATCGTGTTAAACGGAAGAGAGTTACACTTGTAAATTAGGTTGTTGAGGTCAGCCAAAAGCTACGAAAGCAAATTTTACTTTTAGGCAGATTATATATAGATTATATAAAGTTGCTTAGTCCGTGATTATTTTGAGGTTTTAAAATCCTATAAATGCCAACTTTTTGGACATTTCGCTAAATAAATATACAGTGGTGCCTCGTATAACGTACGCCTCGAATAACGGACTATCTGTTTGGCCGTTACATGACTTGAGCAACGGACTTTCCGTTGGGCAGTTATGTGAGGCAAACAAGTGCAAATGATGTTTCCACACTTTTGTTGTTGCCAATGACAATCTTGTATTTTTATAATATATTAGTATTATTAGAACATATTATTAGTATATATGAAGTAGAGAGCTCTCATTGGGATTCGGATTGCTTCCTTGTTTATTACGTACAGTACATCACCTCAGTGCAAGGTATTTACATTTATTCAAATGTTGTGCAAATCATGGCTTCTAAAAAAACAAAGGTGATTTTAATTGAAACAAAGCAAGACATCATCAGGAGTAAAAGTTGACAAAAACTTCCTTGTCAAATGGGGAGAGATTTAGGAGTTTACCAACACTGATTATTTAAACAGAGGTGAGACCAACAGGATCAATTGTCTCTACAATGACATTTTTTCTAGTCATTACCGACAGGTGTTGAAGAAGAGAGAGAAACAGACCACCTTGGACATGTTTTTCAAGAAGCCAGCTGCCAAAAAACAAAGAATGGAACAAGAGATGACCTTGCAAGCACTGTAGCCTCTGCTGAATCTGACTCTGATTAAAAAACAATAAAAAGAGACCTGCTGCAATGTGTAAAAAGTCTGTATCTGTATAAATGTGTGAAGAAAGTTTTCCTCCACCTCTTCCTCACAACATCTAACTATCCAGAAAAATCGGTGAATGCTTTATTTTAATTTTTTTAATGGTACTGTACGGTTATTTTATGCTGCGGAACGAATTATGTGTTTTAACATGTATTTCTATGGGAAAATTCGTTTCATATAATGGACTTTTCACTTAACGGACATCTATCTGGAATGGATTAAGTACGTTATACAAGGCACCACTGTATTTAATTAATTTGATTTATTGAAAGTTCGAAATTCTATTAATTGAATTTTTATTAAATGTATTATAAAAAGTAACAAATATTAATGTTAATATTTGTTATTAAATGAAATATTATTGTTATTTAGTTTCAGAATAGCTTTTCCAACATAATTAAGATTAAAAACTGGTTTAATGCACAAAATGAACATTTTAGTGATACATAAATTTTTTTGTAAAATCAACTACATATTTCTTTTTATATTTGTTATTAATTACAGTATATTTATCAGGTAACCAAAAAAGTTCTGTCGTTTTTTGTTGAAAGAAAACAAAAATAAAAATGTATTGGAAATAACACAATTTATTAATCAAAATAACCATTCTCACATTCAATAACCTTTTCCCAACAGGAAACAAGTTTATAAATTCGATTTTTGTAAAAGTCACGATTTTTAGAGTTGAAAAATCTTAACTTTGTTTCCATAGCCTTTTTATTTTTGAACTTTCGATTTTGCAAATGATTATCTAGGCTTAAAAATAGGTGATAGTCAGAAGGGCTAATCTAAGGGGAATAAGGAGGGTGCAAAAGAGGTTCCCATCCAAGGGTCTAAATTGTGTCAGAGGTCATACGCGCGACATGAGGCCTATAGCATTATTGTGTAGGAAAAGAACGCTTTTATGGTTCACTAAAGCTAGCTGTTTATTCAAAAGTGATTGGTGAACTCAATGCAGTTGGTCGCTGTAGACATTAGCAGTAATAGTCTGGCCAGATGGTATAAGTTCATAGTGAACAATTCCATTTGCAGTCCACCATATGCACAATATTGGCAGGTGCCAATTGATGAAGTATCCATTTACTGAGCTTGTAAACTTTCCCAAGACAATGCAAATGTAAACAGACAGTTTCGTCACTTACAGAGAACCTTTGTGCTAACATCTGACAAGTTTGAGCAGAATCCTCTTCGATTGCAGCCTGTAATTTATCATCATTCTCATGGCGCATCTTTAAGCGACTCATCGCCAGAAGAAAATTTTGTAAACCATCTTTGGGTGGTGTGAGTGCTGACAGAACCTTGTCCAAAAGCCTGGCATATTTTTTGAGCCATTTGCACAGCATTTGTTTCAAGTTTAAACTTATACAACATACAAGCACAAATTATAGCGTTCAGAGTACTCATCTTCAAGTCAGTTTTTATAATATTAAGAGATAACCTTTCCACTTCTCTTTATGTAAGGTGAATCAGCATTAAATCTGAATTAACATAATGCTGGAATTTTAGTGTCATCTGTTGTGTATTGCGTGTAACATTCTTTAAACTTTGTAGTTTCACAAAAAACGACAGAACTTTTTTGGTCACCTAATAATATAAAATTCTTTTAACAGTAAAATATTTGATTTTTTCAACACTCTATTTACCAAACATTTGTATTTGTTGACTATTCTTGTCCATTCTCCTTTCTTTGATGGTACGTACTAGGAAAAGTATAAGTCAACCAAGCTACACTATTGTTGACAGTAAATAGCCATTTCTATGCTATAAAAAACAGGAAATAAGACAAATAACAGAGTCTGTTTCTACTGAAGTATACGCTTATCCTTGGATTTACTAAATCTTATTATTTCATTATTTCGTTTCAGAAAGTTTTTTTTTATTTTTGAATTTTTTTAGGAAGAAAATGAATTGGAATCATGACTTTATTTATCTTTTTTTTTTAGTGTATTTGACGATGTTTATGTTTTAATTAACATTAATTAAAAGTATATTTTTAAGTATATTAATTGAAGTCTTATTTTATAGCCGAACTGCTGGTGGATAAAGCAGTGGAATTAGAATTCTGTGGTGGTGTTTTTGGAAGCAATATTACGCCAACTCCTTTTTTATGTTTAATTCTAAAAATGTTACAAATTCAACCTGAAAAGGATATTATCATAGAATTTATCCGTCAAGAAGATTTCGAGTAAGTTATATATGTATTTTTAATAACAATAATAGTGATAATAATAATTAAAATCACACAGGCCAAACTTACAGAACATGCACAGATAAATCAAAGGAGGTTAACACTCGATTACCAGAATAGATTACATGCAGTACTAAAAACACACCTAAATGCAAAACATGCTATTAATACCTATGTTGTTCCTGTACTCATTTATTTTTTTGGAGGTATACACTTGACATGCACAGATTTCAAGCAACTCCAAAGGAAAACAAGAATAACACTTACTAAGCATAAACAATATCACCTAAAATTATGCATAGAAAGACTAACTTTTTTTTGTGAAGATGGCTGTGGTCTTACTAATATAGTTAATCTGCACTACAAAGATAGACACTGTAGGAGTTGTTTTTACAAAAAAACAAACATCAAGATTACATAAACTATCACTGGCAGACAGTAACCACACCTTTAAACTTGCACTCTGAGCACCTGAACATAGCTAAACATATAAAATACATAGACACTACTAATTCATTGGCCCAAAAGGCGCTTAATGGCAGGCATGCCTAGCTCAGGAATATGTTGACAAAACTGCATTAAAGTACTGGCTGACTAGAGGTTACCTGTTTGGAGAGACTGAGGGTTTCATGGTTGCCGTTTAAGATCAGGACATAAACAGTAAAAACTACAGGAAACACACTTTGAAGGATACCTCACTCACAAATGACTTGTTTAAAAAATGCCACATTTTGCCAGAAACAATACAACATAATTTGTGGTTGCAAACTCTTAGCACAGACTATTTACATAGGCATAGTCAAGTAGAAAATATAATACACCAAAAGCTTGCACAGAAGCACAGGTTATTAAACATTCAGGTACCATACTACAAATATACTTCACAAGCAGTATTAGAAAATAACACACACAAAATATACTACGACAAAGCATAATTGCAGATTAAAGAATTTTTCACTTTTTTTTTCATTGACAAATGCAGTAATATCACTTATATAATAGACATTTTTAATTGCAAACACTTGTAACATAAATAATGCTCACTCTGAAAAAAGTCAACAAGTACATTCCACTCACTCAAAAAATAAGACAGATGTGGAGGATGGTTCAGGTATTTATTGTACCTGTTGTCCTCTCTTCCACTGATGTTATACCACATACACTAAACAAAAGTCTAGAAACATTAAACTATAATAAAATATATACATGGCACTACAGAAAGCTGCAAATATTATTATTATTATGTTGGGTTTAGTGGGTTATACTCGGTTTACACCGGTGGCTGAGTACTATGCTGGACCAGAGTCAAGGCATAGCAACCAAAATGAAACTAAAATCAAATGTGTGTGTCAGTGTCTGTATTCAGGAATTTCCTAACAATATGGCATGTATTCAACATAGTGGCCTTCTGTAGTGTTATGTGTGTATTTCTATTCAATTGTAATGTTCCCAGGCTTTTGTGTAGTGTGTGTGGTATCACACCTGTACAGGAGAGAACAACAGGTACAATAAGCACCCTTTCCATCCTCCACAGATGCCTTATTTCCTGGGCGAGTTATGTGTACTTGGTAATTTTTTTAGTGCATGTGTTTTGTACATTGTGAGTGTTTGGAATG